TTAATTTAGCTTTATCTAATGAAAATCAAAATACTGAGAAAGAATTGTAAAACTTATTATTATTATTATTTTCAAATAATTTTTCTTTTTTTTTAGCTAAATTTGAGTGAATTATATACAGGAATTTAACATTTAAATAAATCTTTTTTATTTTTTTGTTTTATTTTTTTTTTTTTAAATATTAATGGTGAGGCCATTTTTTTGTTTTATTTACTAATACATCTTTTTAAATTTTATAGATTTTTCGAAACTTTTTGAATATTTTCAAAATTTTTTACCATTTTATAAATTTTTATATAGATATTACTTCTTTTTTTATCTTTACTTATTTTTTATTTGTATTTGATATATAAATCAATTAAATAAAGTTGATACAGATTAAAAATAATTAAATTTACTTAGTTAATGATCAAATAAAAAAATTATATTAAATTTATTAATATATGTAAATAGCAATATTTTAAATAAAATAAAATAAATTTATTAATAAAATTATTTCATAACTTTTGAAATATTTCAAAATTATTTCAAATAATTTTAAATATTTTGAAAATCTTTTGAATATTTCAAAATATTTGAAATATTTTTAATATTTTCAAAATATTTTAAATTATTTTTCAAAATATATTTTCATTTTTAGTTTTTATTAATTTTTAAAATTTTATAAAATAGCTAAAATTCTTTCAAAATTATTTTGTTTTTTTCACAATATTGTAAAATTATTTTATTTTAAAATAATTTCGTATCAATCGCAATTATTTTAAAATATTTTCAGTATGCAAAATTTTTTGCAATATTTCTCATATTTATTTTATATATGTAATTTCTGATATTTCTAATGCTATGTTTTTTTTAGTTCTGCTAGCATTTTTATTTATTCTTCTACTAAAATATTCTGATTTACTTTTCTGTACCAGCCTGCTTGAATTGTTTTCTTTGACTTATAAATTTCTTTTTAATTATTTTTAAATATTTTATATTTAACTTGACTAGATTTGAATTAATTTTAGTAATGCTTTTGCATCTCTTTTAATACCTCTAATGGCTTTGTAATTAATTGTCTTGTATTACCTTTTCTTCTTCTTTAAATAGCCTATTAATTTAGATTTTGCTATATAGTTTGTTTAAAAGGCTTACTAATATTTTTTTTTACTTTCTATTTATTTTCATACATCTTTTTTTAAAGTTTTTTTTCAATTTCTTTTTTTTTGAACTTTTGAATTTTACATATTTACCTTACATAAAAAATTTGTCACCAGTCTTTAAGATCAGATATTAGCTTTTTGAATCATTGTTCTTGTACTTTTTTGATATATACATTATACTGCTAGTTTATATATTCAATTGTTATTCTCTTTTAATTGATATTCTTTTTTTTTAAACTAATCCATCTTCCTAATTGTATAAGTGTTTTACCTAGCTTTGATTTTCTTAATCCTTTCTTTTTGTTTGCTATTGTGTTTAGAACTTATCTTTTAGGCAATGTTTTCTTTGCTGTTATCTATATTATATTACTTATAATGTTCTACTACTTTTTTAGTCTTGTATCTTTATCATTAGACAATTTTTTTACTAAAACTTGCTGCAGTTCTAGTAATGTAATTTTTTTTTAATTTGTGTTTCAAGTTTATTTCTGTAGCTATTCCAATTTTTTTTTGTTGCTTTGTCATATAACAATACTGTTCTTTGATAATTTTTTTTTTGATTTTTGTTTTTTTATATATTGCAATAAGATGATTTAAGTCTATTTTTGTCATAATTGCTTTATAATTGCTGTTTGTCCAAATATCTATTTCTTGGATTTTGCATCTAGCAACCTATTGGCATTACTACCTTTTTAATATTTTGATTAATATTATTAATTTAATATTATTTAAGCTATACTTTACTTATATTTTTTAATTTTCATTTTACTAATAACTTATTTCTAATATGCCTAAAGCTGTTTTTACTTTTAGTTCTTTTAGTATATTTTTTTATTTTTTTTTTATTTTTCTTTTTACTTTTTATATTATTTTTTTATTAATATATTTTTGTAATTTGTATATTTTTTTTCATTATTCTGATATCTTTTCTAGTTTGGTTATTTTTTTAAAAAATTATTTTTTATAATGTTTTGCTACTTTTATTTTTATTGTTTTTAATTCTATAAATATTCTTCTGTTTACTTAATAAATTTATTTAGTGCTATTTTTTTATAAGATCTATTTAGAAGGTTAACTATTATTTTTTTTTATTTGTCTTAATTATTTTACACCTTTTTTTTATTTTTTTTATTTGTTTTTTCTGTCTTTGTTTTCAATTTTTTTTATTTTTTTTGTATAATCTTCAACCAGTTTTTTTGTTTCTATCCAAGCATTTGATTATTATTTGTGTAATTTCAAAATTTTTATACTTTTTTTTACTTCTAATTTCTTATTTATATTAACTTTTTTTTTTTTATTATTTCTTAACCTCTTTTTTTTTATATATATTTGATTAATTTTTGAATTTCTATTATATGTTCTTTTTGTTATTGCATTTTATAACTGCTTCTTTTATTTGCTACTGTGTTGAATACTTTTCTCATTTGTTCACTGTTATAAGCATTGCTTCTTCTATAACATTCTATATCAAATATATATTTTTTAACCATTATCATTATTCACTACCTCAGTTTAATTTCACCAGCATTTTAAAACTAGTTAACTAATTTATTGAAAAATGTTTAAACTAATTGCTGGTTAATTATGTAGTTAAATGTAGTACAATAGACATATGATAATTTGCTAAACCAAACAAATTTATTAAAAATATATAACTATTAGTCACTGACTAAATTGTCAACTAATCGATTTGAATAAATTTTAACCACCTCGGAACACTAATTAGCTTAAATCCATTTGTTCGCGGTTTCTTTCTTTTTCTCTTAATTTATGTTCTAACGCAGTTAAAAGCCGTCTACATTTCGCCTGTAGAATATGTACAGAATCAAGAAAAATCTTTTCGGAATCCATAATACCAGTAGACTCAACGTTAACTACACAAATATTAAAGGTTTGTCGTGTTAGCAAATAATTATTTATAACAATCATAAAGCAATGAGGATACATGATTATCTGAATGTGTACAGATAAAATGATCACGTATTCGTGTAAGTTGAACTTTGTCTTCGAATTCTTTATGGCGTAAGGCTTCCCGGCTGACCATGTCAATTCGCGGATTTACCACCTTAGCATATTTGACATATTGACCTTCGACTATGTACAAATTGATCAAAAACGTTAACATTATATATTAATGGATAATACTTAAAATATGCACTTTATTCTCACTATATCCCTCCTCTACTTCGACAACCCCCTTAGTGAAGCAAGCAGCAAATTTATCTGCCAAGTCACCGGTTATTTCCTGTTTTAAAATTATTTCTGGCATCAATCGGTATGATGCGGTTGCTAAAATCGAATCGTTTCAATATAATATTTGACACGAATTCTAAAAATTAAATCCGATTATTTTACCAACTGGTGACCATTTTGCATGGTCTTTTCCAATCCCTTTTTCACAATGTGCTTCTAACTTTATTTTCTATGGAATTAAAAAATTTTTTATTTACATCATGAAACTCGCGAAACAAATCTCAGGAATAATACCGTAAAACCTATATAAGTGCACTTTGTTTTGTTCTCTAAATGCATGTTGTTAAGGTTTGGTCCCAAGAGCATGCACTTATAGAGATTTTACTTTAATCATCACTTAATCAAAATCCACACCTGACCCGGTCTCATTTGCACGATTAAAATGTCATTATGGACTGGTCTGAGGGGACAACTTGCATATTGTTCTTCTTGGTCACCTTTTGGAACCCAAATCAAGGATTCAGACAAAACTAGTATAAAAAAAAAACACTTATCAGGTTTAAATTATTTCATAAAAATGAATTATTATGTGTGATAACTCACGATTGTTGCCTAGATATAATTTTTGTGGATCTGTTTCATCATCTCGAGCTTTAGGATTGAATGTACATTCATGTTCAATTTTAAATACAATTGTGTTCATATCTGTGGGTGGCTCATTAGCTAGTAGAAAAAAAGATATATAAATTATCTTAAATTTTTAAACAATAGAAAAAAAATTTGTAGAAATAAACAAATACCGTGTTTGAAATGGAACCTATCAGGATCAGCTTTTATAGGTAATAAACCTAATCGATGTGCGAGCACTTCATCTTGTACAATTGAAGTATTATTATAAACGTAAACTTTCTCTATCGCCATTGTGGGTACCTTTTTTAAATGTAATAATAATATCGGCTTATGTCCACCACATACAGAAACGTATCGAATCCAAATCTTTTAACTGATAAAAAAAATTTAAAACCTCGGCAATCATAATACGTCTTAACGCGTTTGCTATGGCAGCATCAACACCGATCAAATCAAACTCCATGTCATATTGTTCTTTTCTGATAATTTTGACATTGAATTTCTACCATTCAGTGCATAACAAATAAGATACTAGTTCAATTATAAAATCGATATCTTATTAAAAGTTTGAGCCACCTTCATGAATTCTTTGATGTAATCAATATCTTGGTGATTCGAACTATGATAAGGAAATTCACTCGAAGATGTCTTGATAAATTAGAGTTAAAATCTGCTATCGTCATGAAAAAGTTGAAATGCTAATGTAATTCGCGTACATACACTCCCTACTCCTTCCTTCTCGATCACTACCCTCGTTCTAAGTTGTTCTAAACGTTCTGCATTGCTTTGGGATTTTGAAGTTTTTCTTGACATTTTTGATGATAAACCAACGATAACTATCTATTTTTAGTAACTACTTGAGGCACAGCATATATATTTACTTTTCATGTATAAATACTGAAGTCGAAAACTTTTTTTCACCGACTATTTATTCTGCTTTTTCCTAAAGTAAGTTTTTCATATTAACTTTTAAAATAATGAAAACATGTCTAACGCGTAGTTTATGAAATTTAAAGCTATTTAAGAAAAACTATGAAAGTTCTCATTTGTGGAGGAGCTGGATACATCGGCTCTCATCTTGTTCGGGAACTTTCAACTCAACCGGGTTACGAAATCATCGTCCTAGACAATCTTTCAAAGGGACATATAAAGGCAATAGCAAAAGGGGTTGCTTTTGAAAAAGCAGATATTTGTGATAAAGAAGCTCTTGAACAAGTATTCTCTAAGCATAAGCCTGATGCTGTAATGCACTTTTGCGCTTCAATTGCCGTCGGAGAAAGCGTTACCGATCCCCTGGGATATTACGAGAATAATGTCGTTGGAACCATTTATTTGTTACAAGCTATGCAAAAACATAATGTCAAATATTTTATTTTTTCCTCTACTGCTGCCATTTTTGGAAATCCAGAAGAAACTCCTATAGCAGATGATGCGCCGACGAAACCAATAAATCCTTATGGTGACACGAAGCTTACAGTCGAAAAAATTCTCGCTTGGACTGAAAATGCTCATGGTTTAAAGTACGTTTGTCTTAGATATTTTAATGCTTGTGGCGCTCACGAAAGTGGCGAGATTGGCGAGGATCATCATCCCGAAACACATTTGATTCCTCTTATTCTTCAAGTTGCTCTCGGTCGTAGAAATTGTATTAAAATTTATGGTAATGATTATGAAACTAAAGATGGAACTTGTGTACGTGACTATATTCATGTCACCGATCTAGCTACCGCGCACATAAAAGCGTTAGAGTATATTGTGAGAGAAAACAAATCTCAAAAATTCAATTTAGGTTCAGGTGAAGGATATACGGTTAAAGAAGTAATAGAAGCTGCCAGAAAAATTACCGGTCATCAGATTCCTGAAGTAGTGGAAGCTCGTAGAGCTGGAGACCCTGCGATATTAATTGCTGGATCAACGCGTGCAGAACAGATTCTTGGTTGGAAACGAAAGTACAATACAATTGAAGACATTGTTGCTACTGCATGGAAATATCATAAGGATAATATAAATGGTTATGGTGATAATTAGTACCATTATAGAGCATTCATAGAGTAATTCTAATCATCATCCTTGGTGATTTTATTAAACATAGTCTCTAAACTTATTAATTTATTTAATTTAATAAAAAAAATTGCAAAACATAATCGTGTAACAGGAGTCGTTGGCAACGAATGTTCGATTAAAAACAACCGATTTTTTTCCTAAAAATCGTCCATAACTCTAACAAAAAGTTTTCCTTGAGCAATTATACTATGTGTCTCATTAACGCTAAACCCTATACGTATAAACGCTAACCTAATATTAACAATCTTTTATTACCGAAAATTTTTAGAATTAAAAGCATCTGCACCAAAAGTGACAAGGATAGAATCGCCACCAAAAAAAGTTTCGTTTTTTTAGGTTAGAGTTTGGATTTTGCCATTAGATTGGTGTGTGATTTTACCCCAGTTTATAAAAATAATATACAAAATATTGGTAACGATAAATACAACTGGCTAGCATAGAGGGCTTTCATTGTGATTGGCCGATTTTTTGTAGATCATCCCGTGATATTGTAAAAGTTTTATTGGTTAATCGAAAATTATCGAAAATTATCAAAATTTTTTACGATTCTACGAGCAAAAAAAAAAAATTAATATGTAAAAAAACAATTATATCTGTAATTAAAGTAATGCTGGCGGAAATCATTATCACAAAATCTCAATAATTTAAATCTAAACTATAATTTTGTAACAAACAAAATCAGACAAAACTTCGGAAAATCAAAATTTTATTAAAGAACCTAACATACTATTTATGAATCAAAGAAAAAAAGTGAACCAAATAAAAAATATATACAAAAAATAAATATATAAACCTATTTTAGAACGTCAATAACTAACAAAAAATAATTAAAAACAACTTTTAATGCTTGTTCTAATATCAAATTAATTTTATTTAATAATTATTATATAGTTATAGTATTGTAATAGAATTTACTTTTTTTTCTATATTAGTATATATTTATTTTTAGCTCTATATTATATCTTATATTTTTT